GAGCGGGCGGACACGGAGTGGAAGTTCGCTCGCAGCAAACTGTGGATAAGCTATTTCGAGGAGGGCGGCACCACGCCCCCGCCCTTCAACATCATCCCGGCGCCCAAGAGCGTGTATTACCTCTTCCACTGGTTCTTCAAGAAGTTCTGCGGCCAGACGAAGGCGGCAAAGAAGGAGCACATGAGGACGATAAGGGTGAGTAAACCGTCTGTTATGTATATGAAATTTCACAAAATAGCGAAGCTGTCATGTTTTTTTTTCGACACAATAACCGTCAATATTTGCAATTTAATCGGAGATGGTATAGGACATTCATGGCATTGATATAATATGGTGAAGATAACCACAGGGTTTTTCATCTGCTGTGAACGTTGTTCTTCTGAGTTTAATGTCGCGTCCAAAAGCATTGGCGGCCAAACTGATTTTGCGTTGCGTGTTCCGTTTCAGTTTTATTTTGTTGATGACACCGTTTCTAACTTTTTCTTTCTTTTTTTCTGAGGTTCGTGTTCTTTTGTCCCTACTCGTTCCATGTTGTTTGTCAATCTGTGTTGATAGAACACGAAACACATTTACAACTTTTAGATTTATATGTGCGACAAGTCTCTGATTCAAGTACGTATCTGCCGTTAGGCCACAGATGAAAATACATGTCATTCAGTAATCAAAAGGTCTTAACAGACAGTATTTCAAAGCGCTATTGTCTTATAGATGAACGATGAGGACTCGCTGTAAGATGACTCATAAATACTGACTTTCGGCAATATGACGTTTCCAAAGAGAGAAAAGCAAGACAAAAAATTAATGAAAATTAAAGTAGCAAAGACAAAATACATATGCAAACGTCAGTGAATAGTTATACTGATGCAGTAAAAGAGAGACAGACAGACAGACACACAGGTTGGCAGGAGGACAGACAGATAGACTGTCAAGCAAACATAGACACACGGAGAGAGAGTGAACGAGCGAGTGAGAAAGAAAGAGAGAGAGAGAAAGGGAGTCAGATAGACATACAGGCAAGCAGGAAGAAAGAAAGAGACAGACACGCAAACATAGACACACGGAATGAAAGACACAAAGAGAGAGAAAGAGAGAGAGGCAGGCAGATAGACAGATAGACAGATTGATATACAAGAAATGAATGACCCAAAGAAAGATAGACAAAGGAAGGTGTACTGGTGGAGAGAGGGAGGGAGAGAGAGTCTAACAGAGATACAGACAGTCAGACAGAGAGAGACACTCACAGAGGGAATAGAAGACTCAATGAGTCAGACAGACTGATTGGCAGACAATGGCAAAGAGAGACATAGCAGGTTTAAATATAGCTATGTGAACAGAGAGATATGTGTATACACGTGCATATGTTAGAATAAAATACAGCCACATAACAAGCCATAAATTCCCCAATCACACAATCAATGTCATCGTAATGAACGTGTCAGTAAAAAGTCCGTAACTCCCCTAATCAGAACTGCCAGTGATTCGCCATTCCCCTCATGTCACCACACCAATCAGTGGCGTCTTGCTTTGGGAGCCAGCATGGGCGGCGCTGCATCAGATTGTGCAAGTGAAATGAGTGTCGTGTTCATTTGATTCCAATTGTAATTGTTATGGCTGTTGCTGCTGCTAGTGTAGGTGGCTATTCTGAAGATATCTTACGGGTATTATTATTATTATCATTATTCATATTGTTATTATTATTGTTATCATTATTCATAGTTATTATTATTATCATTATTCATATTGTTATTATTAGTGTTATCATTATTTATATTATTTTTATTGTTAGCATTATTCATATTGTTATTATTATTGTTAGCATTATTCATATTATTGTTACCATTATTGTTTATATCTTTACTACTATTGTTGTTATAATTATTATTGATATGATTAGATTTATTATTACTATCTTCATCATTGTTATTAGTATCATGAATATTGTTATAATGATGATAATTATCGATATTATTATCATTGTTATAATTGTTTCTATTATTACGATCATATTGTTATCATAATTATTATTATTATCATCATCATTATTATCATCATTACTATTATTATAATTATTTTTGATTTGTTATTATCATCCTTATATTTTTCACTACTAATATTATATTTTTCATGATAACAAATCATTATTGCTGTTGTTATTATAATTACCATTTAGTTTTTATTATCATCATCACTTTTATCATTGCTATTGGTATTATTATTGTTATCATTATCATAGTCATTATCGTTCGTTAATTCTACTTAATGTCATTAACGTTGCTATTTTTCTTACCATTTTTGTTATTGTTGTTATTGTTACTATCATTATTATTATTATTATTATTATTATTATCATTATCATCATCATCATTATTATTATTATTATTATTATCATTATCATTACTCTTGTTATTATAATTTTTGTCATTATAATTGCTGCTGTTGTTGTTACTATCATTATTGTCATTATTATTTGCATTGTCATTACTATCATCATCATCATCATCATCATTATTAATGATGCTATTATTATTATTATTATTATTATTATTATTATTATTATTATTATTATTATTATTATTATTATTATTATTATTATCATTATTATTATTATTATTATCACCATCATTATCATTGATATTTCACTATATATCATGATTTTCATCTACAAGTGATCATTCCTATTCATATCAGTATATATGATAAATACCATACTTTTGGTAGTGGCCACGGCTTTGCAGTAATAGCTTGTCCTAGCACACCAGCATGCCTCCATTTGTGCAAACCATTCCATCCTAACTTTAACCTATTTTGACCTACCAGAACCTAAACTAACTCATATCAACCAAACCCAACCCAACCTTACATAACTTACTATTAACCCAGCCTTAATTAGTCTGCCGTAAATTAACTATTTTAACACCTAATTGAAATCCATTTAGACTAACCAAACCTAAGCTAACTAACCTAATCGCCTTTATTTAACCATTCCTACCCCAACTCGTCATAACCAACGGAATGTATCCTAACCTACCCAAACTAATCAGTCCTACCCAACCCAACCTACCCAAAATAATGCTTACGAAATTTAACTAATATCACACTAGAAGCAATCAGGGGGCGCATACCTCCGCCAAGGCAATAGGGTCACTGATGCTATGAGAGATGTTCACGCTTCAAGATTTACATTCAACTCACCCCTTCCTCAAGCACACGCGTTTCCTTATCTCGCAACGCTAATGAATCCTTTCAAATATTCCTGGATCCAGATGATATCATGGCATCTGAGTTGGGCTTAGACATATCGCTGGTAAAAAAATCATATAACTATTCATTTCTTAATTTATCCTGCTAAACAGCTAACCAACAAGCTAACCCATGCTACCATAAACATAACCTCCTTGGTGGAGGTAACCAACCCATCCGAGGCCACGTTCTCAGTAACAGCAATCTGCTATGAGCGGGTGGAAGTGAGTCTATTAAAACACTGTATAGCCTTTGACCAATCTAAGAAGAGTTGATACCTTTATCAATGAGTAAAACACTTGAATCTTGAAGCGTTTGAAGAGCATCAAATAAAATGATTAAAAAAAGTAAGAGCTTACTCAGTTTACTTAGAAAAAAATGATTCATTGTAATGCAGAAAGTGAACACCATAACTCGCTGTCACCTGCTGGCTCTTGATCACCGCCAGTACGTCCTAAACAATCCTAACCTAAGCCAGCCTAACGCAACTAATAATAATCTAACCAATTCTTACCTATCCCAACCAGTGTTACCATTATTTAGCCGGACCTAAACCAGTTTAACCAGTCCAAACATAAGCAAAATCAGCTCAGCCTTAGCTAACCAAATCTGACCTATTAACCCAAATTAACCTAAACTAGCCAGTCCTAACTTACCTCGACGAAGCCTAATCAGTTGCAACCTAACGAAGCTTAACCCTATAAAACCTTATTAATTCTAACCTAACTTAACAGATCAACTTAGCCAATCTATAGAACACGTACCCAGCTTCACCTTCCCGTGCTTGTTTAACCCCCCACCCAAAAAAAAAAAAAAAAAAAAAAAAAAAAAAAAAAAAAAACTATGATAACGATAATGATAATAATAATGATAATAATGATATTAATGATAATAATAATAATAAGAAGAAGAATGATAACAATAATAATAATAATAAGAATGATAATAATAATAATAATAATAATAAATAGAACGCATACCTCCGCCAAGGAAAAATGTTGCCAAGGTGAAGCTAGTAACTGATGCAATCATTAAAAAAATCCGAGATCCAGATCATGATCCGGATCCCCACCAGTATTTGATGGCATCTAAATAAGGCTAAGACACACATTTGATAAAAATCTGTTCATAACATTTTGAGTTATCCTGCTAAACAATAAACAAACAGAATGATTACCTAACCAACGCTACCGAAAACATAACCTCCTTGTCAGAGGTAATGATAATAATTAGGCTATTATGATGATCAGGAAGATGAGATTAATGATGACAATGACACTGTCATGTATTGACCTTACCACTCCTAGCCTTACCAAACGAACCTGACTGGGCTAGCCTAGCCTGCCCTAACATGAGCAACCAAGTCTAACACAATTGAACCTTTGAACCTTTACACATAAAGGGCGCATGTCCACATGCGATGTATCGTCACCCGTCTTGTAGCCTACTCTCTCTGGCCGCTGTTGCTATCCTTGCCTTCATCAACACCTTCGTTATTGATTTTGAAATTCAATACTATTGTTAACAATATTGTTGGTCTTTTCATTGCTAGTTTTTACATGAGTATGATGATAATAAAGATAATAATGATAATAGTAATAATAATGATGATGATAATGATAATAGTAATAATTACTATAATTATAATTATTTTCATCAATATCATTAATATTATTATTATTATTACCATCACTATTATTTTTTTATCGTTATTATTACTAATATTATTTCCATTATTGTTGTTGTTGCTATAATGATGG